CTCCTCTGCATAAGAAGCCAATGGGCAAATCTGCTGAAATGCGCTTTTGGCTCTGCTGGAGCAGGCATAAAAAAGAGCCTTGCCTGAGCAGAGCGCTCTGTTGCATTTGCCTGGGGTGAAGGAGGGAGGGCTGGAGCATCTCTCCTATGAGGAAAGGCTGAGGGAGCTGGGCTTGTTTAGCCTGAAGAAGAGAAGACTGAGAGGGGGTGTCACAAATACTTACAAATATCTTAAGGGTGGATGTCATAAGGACGGAGCCAGACTCTTCCCAGTGGTGCCCAGCAACAGGGCAAGGGGCAATGGGCACAAACTAAAGCATAAGAGGTTTCAGTTGCATAGGTGGAAGAACTTCATTACTTTAGGGTGACAGAGCACTGGAACAGGCTGCCCAGGGGGGCTGTGGATGATGTCCTGTGCAACCTGCTCTGGGTGAACCTGCTTTAGCAGGGGGGTTGGATGAGATGATCTCCTGAGGTTCCTTCCAACCCTTGCCATTCTGCGATTGTGTGTGATTCTGTGAGTTGCCACAGATGCTTGTGCTCTGCTTCACTGGCTGATGAGAATACGTGGTTGCCCTCCAAGAGCACAGGTAATGCCGGATAATAATAACAGGTAGGGCCAAGGAAGTGGAGACGAGCACATCTCGGACTGAAGGGGGATGCAAGGACTCAACAGGTTGTGCTGGTAGGTGTGTGATAGTACCCGGTGAGGTTGTGGGAGAGCTAGTCAGAGCAGCTGGCCACGTTTGATGGCTCAGGGCTCCTAAGCATAACCTCAGCAAGAAGAATTAATGTTGCTTGTGAGGCTTTTCCAAGTAGGATTGAAGTGGTGAGTGAGAATGAGATTGGGATGCAAGGGGTAAGTCGGTATCAAGAACCTGTATCTGGGCAGCGCAAGGTGCTGCTTGGGCTGGGTGTCAGGAAGTTGTACTGGAAGAGCTGGGGGTTATAATGGTTTCCTGCAGGTGCGTAGACATGGCTATAGCAGGCCACAGCAAGGCTGAGTTGTGTTACTGCGGGGCTAGCAAGACTGTGAAGAGAGGAACAGACCAGCAGAGAGGCATTTTCTCTCCGTGTGCCTGGAAGACAGGGAAAAGCAGTGGTTAACATACCATCAGAGCTCAGCCATCTCCTCTCTCAGGGCCTGATTTTTCTTCCCGTGATGTTTTTTCCCCACGAAGCCAGGGCTGTCTCAGAGGCTGGTGGTGGCAGGGGGGGGGGTCTGGCTCACGCTGCCGCAGAGCAAACCGGCTGCTTCTATGCAGTTGAAGGTTTTGCGGGTGAGGGGGGAACAAATACCAAACAAACAAACAAAAAAAAAAAAAACCAGCTTCAGTCTAAACAACCAAACTTTTTTTTTAATGGGTCTTTTCCCTGCTTCTGATTTCCGTGCTCTCCTCCCCC